ATGTATATATATATCCAGTAGGTTTCTGAAAGTTTAACTAAAATCCATCCAGTGCTAACATAAAAAACAGAATGGACTTTAAATACATAGTTAATGGCAACATTTTGAACCAAGTTTTTGCACAGTCTGTTAGCACTGAGGATTTGTGATGGGGATGACTCTCAGCTACAACCACAACAAACTTTAGAGTAATATTCTTTATTTTTCTTCCAGAGGAAAATGCACCAGTCCTTCTGTGTTTGTCTGTGTGAGGCTTCTTCCTGTTAAAATGGGGTTTTCCTCTCCACTGTCACCGGTGCCGCTCAGGATGGGATTCATCACAATCTCCTGGCTTCTTTATATTTATTGTTTTTTTGTGTGCAGTGCCCTGAGATGACTTTTGTTGTGGCTTGACGCTATATAAATTGAATATCTGTGAAATTAAGTAAGTTAAAACCACTTACGTACAGGCTGATGTGGCCATCTTGTATCAGTTGTAACTGGACATTRTCTTCTAAGAGCTTTGTTAAAAAGCCCTGCACGCGCACACAAAGCATCATCATCTGCCTTCACTTTTTGGTGGCAGTCAGTGATGACCCACCAGAGGCTAGATTATAATGATTAGAATAAAGGTGCAGACAAAACCTCCTTTTGATATTATTTGTATTCCTGCTCATATCAAGGACAGACAACATGTAAAGTGCCTCGGCTGGATGTGGCTGTGCTGTTTTTGTAGCACCAGGGAATAACTGAATAATGCAGTGTGCTTGTCTGTCGCTCAGAGGCTCTGAGTGCTGAATAACCGCTGTTGATCTGACGAAGACTATTTTCAGCACACCAGCGGCCAACAGATGGTTTCTTGACTTCGACACTGCCAGATCTCTATAAAATCTGCAAAAATCATGTCATGTTTTCACTTCTGTGCATCTGTCCAAAATAATTGATTATGGGTACRCCACCTGCAGCCTTTTATTCCAGTGTTTTAAAGTAAGATCACAGTTTAAAAAACAAAGTTTTTTTGTGTTTAATCTAAAAAGAAAGCAATGTGAGACTGAATGCAATTTTGCAAAAGCCCTCATGTTTGCTCTCAGACTATGAGATGGGAATGACTCTCAGCTATTACCAAACCAAATGTTTTGTCAGTTTCTATAAATTTTGCTAACAAGCAATTTATTGAACAGGCAATTATATTATCACTTTCTTTTTAGCTTGTTGGCAGCAGGTTGTTATAAATTTGCTTTGGTTAGCTCAAGGCTTGCAGCACAAGCCTTACCTGACATCTTGTTTCATCGGTTGTGTTGCAGCGTGTACTGGGACTACGCCATGACTATTCCTTTTGAAGAGATTGTTTATTTGCACTGTCATCAACAAGGTACAGACCTTTGAAATGATTTTCTATATGACACAGATCCCCAGCGTGCARTTGATATGTATAAAATCAGATCCTTTTCTGTGTCTCTTGTAGTGGACAGTGGGGGGACGGTGGTGCTGGTCAGCCAGGACGGCATCCAGAGACCTCCACTTCGCTTCCCCAGAGGAGGCCACTTGCTCCAGTTCCTGTCCTGCCTGGAGAACGGCCTGCTTCCCCACGGTCAGCTGGACCCTCCGCTCTGGTCCCAGAGGGGAAAGGTCAGTGTGCTTTTATCTCACTCTGAGGCTTCAAATCCAGAACACAGTACAAGATTGGCATTCCTCCAGGAGACCTCACTTACGCATTAAATCAGCCTCACCTAATTGAGGAATCAATAAAAAARACGTTTGGTTTGGATCCATTGCTTTGTTGTGTTTAGGGATACAGATGACTGTGTGTTTAATGCTCTCTCAGCACAGGTCCACTCACATGAATAGGTGCTTTTGTGAGCTAAATCAAATAATGCTCAACAGCCACATGTGTTCAAACTGTATTAATGAGATTACTYATACAGGCACTTATCGACTCAACAAAGGCGTGTTTAAAGTGGGCTCTAACGGCCGAACATTTTTGCTGTTGGTTTTTATTTATTTTCAGGGAAAGGTATTTCCTAAACTGAAGAAGCGGGTACCTCCCGGATCCAGCTCCTCGGACTCCGTCTCAGACAAAGAAGAGGACGAGGCCACAGACTACGTCTTCCGCATCATTTTCCCAAACAGCCAGTCGGAATTCGGTGGGTTTCCCTTTTTCTCAGAAGCAAAATGAAACCCGGGAGCGGTGGGCAGCGGGCGGGGCTCTTCAGATGGGTGCGTTTTGATGAAAAATGTTGCTTATTATTTGTTACAGTGACTGTAACCCATCGCCTCCATCTGACCTCTTCTTTCTCCCTTGAGCTGAGTGGACAGTCCACCTCCCAAACAGGGCCCMGGGTTGGACCGGGGAGGTCCTGCAGCTGTCGGGAGGAATTGGCCCCACTCACAGGAAGCAGCTGTAACACTGTCACACCTCACCTCGTCAGTCCATCTGTCAGCTTGCCTTGCTTTATCCCTCCTATTTTTAATATCCTCCCGGTCTGACCCGCACCTCTGGCAACGTTTATCGATGTGCTCCGTTATTAATGCCACACTGTGTCACACCTTCCTGACTGCAGTAACCTTTTTAAACAGCTGATAGGGTGATTGATCAAATGTGACTGTTGAGCTGGGAAAAGCTGTTTGCCTGTTCACCTTTCATTGTTCGTAAATATCTAACAACCCCAGCTCTGGAAAAAAGTTGTAACGTTGTGTGTGAAATGTAAATAAAAACAGAAGGCAGTGCTTTGCATTTCTCATAACCCCATATTTTATTCACAGTAGAGCATAAAAAGGAACCCATGTTGTTCTAATGCAGGGCTAGCCAATCCTGGTCCTCAAGGGATGCTATTCWAAATGTTTTATTTGCCCCAACACACCTGATTTAGTGATTCAGTTACCTCTTCAAGTTCTGCAGAAGCCTGTTAATCACCCATTCATTCAAATCAGGTGTGTTGCAGCAAAGAAACCTCTAAAACATGCATGATAGAGATGGTCGAGGACTAGGATTGGACACCCCTGTTAGCWTCGTCTTTCTGAAACATGGAAGACCTTCCCTATTAAGTCATAATTAGGATGGCAGCTTGTTGTTCTAAAACATTTKTATACTTTTCTGTATTCAGGATTCATTCAGATGTGTAAGCTGCCCATGAAAGAGAGGGACTAATGCACCCCTATACTATCAGAGAGGCCGGTTTGCTGCTTGGTACCTCTCTTCCTTAGTACGATTACTTTGGGTAACATTGATTATGTTTACTATGTTTCTTTGTGAATAAAACATGGGTTTATAACACTTTGGTTTTGCTTACATTTACACAACATTTTTTTTTTGGACTTGGGCTTGCATAATATAACGTCTTCATGCTTTCATATTGTTTGTTAATCCAGGATAACTTTGTTCTTTTTCTCTTTGATCTAGCAGGAAATCAAGCTCATGCAAACTTTACTTTGAAGTGCTTTAAGTGGGACACGATTCTGCTTCTGCCAAAAGTGTTTACAGCTGTGTTTCAAATCATCCGATTGTTCTGAAAAGCCTAAGCTGCGTGGCACTTTAAAGTGATAATGAGGATGTGTGTGTGTATGTGTGTCTTTGTACACAGCGACTCCTCCGGATCTGATGGATCAGGGAGCAGCGATGTGGCACCCCACTCTCAGGAAGTCGTCGTGTTCCTCCTGCTCTCAGGGGAGCTTCTCTGATGGCGTCGTGCACAAGGGGTGCAACCACGAGAGGTGAGACGCCAACACGGCGGCCTAGACCGAGTTGTTTTGATGTGACAGGAGGAGTCTGGGGGGCTCAACGGTGCTACAGAAACTGTAGACGGATAATGAATATAAGAACCTAGCAACTACCGAGGACAACCATGTGGCATTTAAATCAGTGGGAAAAAAGAATGTGTTGGGTGAATTAGCTGATAAGCATGACAGAAAAAAGACAAACTGCTGAGTTAATTTGCTCTGTATGGCAGTTTATCATTTGATAAAAGGTCAGCCTCAACCCTGTAATAAGCTTTAACATCAGAGATGGTCTATTATTCATGCAGGGAAATATGAGAAGTGACATGCAGGAAAACACTGGCTTGACGACAGTTTAATGATAGTGTTTTAAAGAAAGAGAGCTGCTGTGTGTGTTTTATTAAATAAAATGTGTTTTCTTTCTGTAGGACWCCTCTGAAGCTGCTGTGTGACAACATGAAATATCAGATCATCTCCAGAGCGTTTTACGGATGTATGTACTTCTTCAAWATGAGCTATTCTCATTTATAGCAAAAAAGTTCCAATCGTTTAATGCAAAATTCTGTGGAAACGTTCTGAAAAATTATAAAATATAAACATTTGTAACATCTTGTTACAGTGGGTTGACATCTTTTATGCAGAGTAGGTAATAAAAAAATGTTTAAGGCCCCAAACTGAGGTCATTCAAACATTATGTTCAACAGGTAAGACAATTATTGTTGTTGTTTTAGATCTTTTTTAAAATTTTCTGTGCATTTTTTTTTACAATTTAACTAATTCTGCATACTTCATGTATTCGTGAATGTATCAAAACGTTCTGTTCATTCAAGAGATGGGTGCCATAACTCTTTATACTTTTCCCAAATATTCAGATTTATTTTTATTATTTTCCCCTTTGAAATACATTAGAAATTTTTCAATTCCTTCCACAGTCAAAACGAACAAGATTTTTATCTTGTTTGTTTTAAATTCTGCTTCAACTAATTTTGTCTTATTCTGCTACTTTTAGCTATCATTTTTTCCACTTTTACCTACTGTTTTGGTACTTTTAGCTAGCTACCATTTTCTATTTTAGCTATTGTTTTGCTACTTTTAGCCTTCATTCTTTCACTTTTAGCTACAGTTTTGCTACTTTTGGCTACTGTTTTTCTCTGTTAGCATTACCATCTATTGTGCTGCTTTTAACTACTTTTTTGTGAATTTTGACTTGTGTTTGACTAATTTTATATTTGCTTGTTATTGATTTAACAGCTTGGTTTATTTGTTATTCAGCGTTCAGTATGGATTTTCACAGAAAATGCACTTTCTCCAGTTAGTCATAACTTTTCCACAGAGCCTYGTTTCAAAACATCTGAACTRTCTTTTTAAATAATCATCTGGTTCTTCCATCAGGGCTGGCCTACTGCCGTCACCTGTCCACCGTGCGGACGCACCTCTCCGCCCTCGTCAATCACACCATCGTGGCGCCAAACGCGCCCTGCGACGCTTCTGAGGGGCTCACTGCAGTCGTGTGGCAGACGTTCCTCCAGGACTCCACAGTAAGCATCGACTGCATCACTGAAACTCACTCGCCCACGCCAAGACACTCTGTCTGCTTCCATATTCACTCTTAGCTAATCATGCGGCACACAGTCTTAACAACAGTGTGCATGAGAGTAATGAGACTAATGCCTCCGTGAGTTTCAAACGATGTTTACACCTACAATTTATTAGAGCATTAATCACATTATAATGGGTCGATTAGTGTGACAGGAGAATGAAGAGTTTCTTATTTTGCAACATTAAAGAATTATTTTGTTGACATGTAATTAAGTGCAGGCTTTGATCCTCGCTGTGGTTGTCGTCGTCGTTGTGGCGGCGCTGATCGATGCGTGGCACATCGCTGTCACATTAAGCAGAGCAGTGAAAGAACAAAGGCTGATCAGCAGGCAAAAGCACTTCATCAGCCGCTTCTGTTTTAATTTCAGACCTACAAGGAGCAGGAGCTGCTCCGGTTGGTCTACTTTGGTGGTGTGGAGCCCTCCTTGCGTAAAGAGGTGTGGCCCTTCTTGCTGGGTCATTACCAGATTGGGATGTCTGAGGCCGAGAGGAATGAGGTGTGTGGGTTCACAGTGATGTTTTTTATGTTTGTTTTGTTGCTCCTGCAAAAAAAGTATTTTTTTTTTACTACAGGTGGATGAGGAAATGCAGGTTTCCTACCAGCAGACGATGGATGAGTGGCTGGGCTGTGAGGAGATCGTCCGTCAGCGAGAGAAGGAGCAGCACGCCGCGGCTTTGGCCAAGTGCTCCTCCGGGGCGAGCATGGACAGCTCCAGTCAGAGGATGACCCATCACGACTCCACTGTGAGCAACGAGGTAGAGCGAGCAAAAAAAGACAGAAAACTATGACATGTTTCCTCACAATAGAGCCTGAATCTACAAATGAATCTGGGATGAGAAACCTTTATACGTGAGAGAAAAGCAGTTTTTTTAATCAGTTGTTAGATAAAGGGTTAAAACATGCTGACTTTACATGAAGTGGGTTAGTGAAATGTTTTAATTGAACACACCACATAATCTACAAATTTTAAAAATATATGTGTTTTCTTCTTTTGAATTGCTCTGACTCTGCAGTCCCAGTCGTCTCAGAGCTCTGATAGACAGAGTCTGGCTCACCTGCAGAGTGATTCCAGCAGCAGCACACAGGTATTAAAAACACAACATGCATTGCTGCAAAGATCAAATAAATTAAGACCTAACATTTATTTTGAAGGAAAGCATATTGTCCTCTGCCTTTTGTCCCAGAGTTTTAAACTAAGATAATCTTATCTTGAAGAAAAGGACAAAGTTTCAGCCTGTTTGGTTATCAAGTTATCAAGCACAATCTCTCACAACATTGTGCAATCTGGTAGCACTCAGACTATGTGCTGAAGATAACTCTTAGCTACTACCACAGCAATTTTAAGCATATATATGTATGTATATAAATGCATATATATATATATATACATACACACAGGCATGGCTTTCATGGTGGCAGGCATTAAATGGCATTCCTTCAAAAACTAAAGTAACTTAATATAACATCTGTAAGAGTTTTTCAGTTAACTGATGTTTTATGTCAGTATTGCATTTTCAACCATTACTGTCCACCGCTGCATTCTCCTTGCTGCTAGTTCTTCACATCTTCCCATCCCTTCCCCTGGAGTAGTTTGCTTCCCTTTGGCTTGTTCTTTCAGGTGTTTGAGTCCGTGGAGGAGGTGGACCAGATCGAGGCAGAGTCCAAGTGCGAAGAGGCCAAGCAGGTGCCAAAGGTGCCCAACGGAGCCCTGCAGAACGAGACGAGCTCTCCGGACTCTGGGCATCCTTCCTCGAGGAACTTCTCTATCACCTCCGGCTTGTCGGACGGCTCCTTCAGCACAGAGGACAGCGCCATGGCTGACGCAACCCAGAGATCCGTGGCGGCGCCTCAGGCTCCACAGAGTTTGGAGAAACCCACAGAGGGAGACAGTGAAGCCCCGACCATCGAGAGCCAGGAGACAAAAGATGAGAAGGGCAAAGGGGAGGAGGAGAAGGCCTTTGTTGTGAGCAAAAGTGCAGCAAGCGCGAATGCCGAGGGGATTTTTGAAATGATGGTCAAAGAAGGAGCAAATCTGCAGCCTGAACCACAAGAAAACATTGAGTCAGAAACAAGCTCACATGAGAATACTAAAAAGACTTCTGAGTCACCGAAAACTGGAAAAGACTGGACTGATGGGAAAACTGTGACAGTGACAGCAGCTGCAGCACAATCCAAAGAAGAACACGTCAAACAAAGTCCTCACAAAAAAGTGGTAGCGAAGAAAGATCCCAAGCCTGAAGACAAAAACAATAAGACGATGAAGGAAATGGACAAATCAAAGACAAGTTCAGCGATTTCGCAAGAAAGTTTCACAGCCCCCAAAGCTCCTGGAGAGGAAAAGAATCGCACCTTTTCAGCAGAAGCCCGAGTCACGAGATCCGGAGGAGTCCACCCTCGGAAAGAAGAGGCTCAGGTCACAACGGACTCCGACGAGTCCCCCTCAGCCATAGAGATGGAGGAAATCCCCAAAGCTAAAGTCTCCATGGTTCCCTGGGGCCGGAAGAGACAGTGTGAGACGCCGTCCTTTTCTGAGGAGCCTCACTTGGAGCTCAGGCAGGAGGAGGACAAGCTGAGTCCAGAGGGCACTGAGTCCATCCTGTCAGAGCCGGAGATGGAGAGCCTTTACCCTCCGTTAGACTCGTTGGCTGCAGATGAAAACACAAAGAGCGAGGACTCAGCTGGGGGCCCTTACTCTGTATGTCCAATATATTTTCAACAGAATGAATGAGTTTATCACAGTAGTTCTCAAGCTTTGGTCAGTCAATCATATAAAGATTATTATTGTTATAAATGTTCTGAGGAGGTGGGAATGTTTCCTGACTCCTGAAAGAGAATGCACATCAGAAAAAAACTTCTGTGTTCATGGCCCAAAAAGTAGATTCGATAATGAGTTTATTTGTCGTTATTTTATTTGTTTCAGCAAGAGTTGTTGGATTTATACACACTGAACCTGCACCGCATCGACAAGGACGTCCAGCGCTGCGACAGAAACTACTGGTACTTCACCCCGGCCAACCTGGAGAAGCTGCGCAACATCATGTGCAGGTAGGACACTGACACCTGCAGGCCTATCCAGGATAAAAAGAGATTAATGCTGTTTGGAGTATAATAATGCTACTTAAAGTTTTAAAGGAGACATATCCTGCTTTTAAATCCTTCTTTTTCACATATATCTACATGTATATAAAATGCAACTGTCAAAAATGATTTGGTCTGAATTCCTCCTTATTGTAACTCCACAAATCCCTCTTTCACCCTCTTTCTGAGGTGTGTCTCAGATCAACTAGTTTTTGAGGCTGCCTCTTCAAATCCAAACAAGGCGCTTCATACGGCGCCCCCCTCCAGCTAAGTTTTTGTGCTTTAATGTAACTCTTTTTTAGAAACACTTCTGACCTATAATTATATTTAATGTGGTTGTTTTAATGTCATAATCCTCGTCCGGAAGCATTAGAAGCATAAACGTAAAATAGCTTATATTTTTTTTAGTTGTCTTGCAAACGATAAAATGAATTTCGAAGCTCTTGCCTCCGGTGTTGGAAGACGAGTACAGGAACGTCTCTAAATGTGGAGAAAAGTGTGACTCAGAGGGAAAGTGCATTTGAAGCTGGGTCAGGTTCAGCTCCCTCTGTTGTGTATTTACAGCTACATCTGGAGGCACCTCGACATCGGATACGTCCAGGGAATGTGTGACCTGCTGGCCCCGCTTCTCGTCATCCTGGATGACGGTGAGTCAACGCATCGATCCGCTTCTTCTCTGACATCCTGCGTATTTTTACACTTATTTAGAAGCCGTGGCATGCTCACCTCCACCTCTGCACTCCTTTCAGAGGCCAAGGCCTTCAGCTGCTTCAGCAAACTCATGAAGAGAATGAATCAGAACTTTCCACACGGGGGGGCCATGGACACTCACTTTGCAAACATGCGCTCTCTAATCCAGGTGAGACTGCACATATACTTGATCAGAGGCGATTGCTCTAATGGTGCGTTCACACCAAACATCAGCATCAGGAGCATCAGGTTTACATGCAAAGTCTGTGGTGGACGCGCTTCAATCAGCGTCGGGAAGTGCTGCGGCGCCTCAAGCGCGATTAGAGCAGCGCGATTTGAACGATCTGAGCGTTCGACGTACTTGATGCACAAATCGCTGAAGTTAGAAAATCTGAAATTTTGCAGCTCGATGCGCCGCGTCAACCAATCAGAGAGACTCCACTGTGTGACGTAGCGACAAATTTCCCGCGTCAACCAATCAGAGAGACTCCACTGTGTGACGTAGCGACATATTTCCTGACGGGACAGTTTACTGAATGAAGTCCACTAACCTGAAGCAGATGGAGAGGAGCTCTTTAGCTGAAAT